AAAAAAAAAAAAAAAAAAAAAAAAAAAAAAAAAAGATGAGGGTAGAGGGCCGGCCCGGTGGCGCACTGCTACAGTGTGCCACTTTGGAGTGCGGCGGCGCTCCTGCCAAGGGTTCGGATCCCACATACAGACTGGTTCCCGCTCACTGGCTGAGCGAGGTGCGGACGCAGCACCGAGGTTTGCAATCCCGTTGCCGGTCCCGGTCCGGCACGGGCGCGACACTGAGGGTTGTGATCCGTTGCCAGACACGAAAAAAGACAAAAAGGAAAAAAGATGAGGGTAGAGAGGAAGTGGAAGCAAAGGATAAAAAGAAGAAAAGATGGGAGAGAAAAAAGAAAAGTGTTTGAGGGAGAAGAAGGGGAAAATGGAAGGAAGAAAAAAGAGACAGGAGGAAAGTAGTGAGGAAGAGGAAGGGTGTAAAAGGAAGACAAAGGAGGAAGATCGAGAGAAGAGATCAGAGCTGCTGAGCCACTGAGACTCCACGGCCACACTTGGCGGGGGAGCCTGGGGTAGGAGCTGGATTTGAATTATAATGCAGGAATATTACCTCGCCCCCAGCAATCATCTGCCTATGGGCTTGGAGACGTAGGCAAACCCAGTGTCCACGACTCTAAATGCATGAGTGGGTGGGTGGGCAAATGTGCTCAAACAGAGAATCTGTGGTTACACGGAAGCCAGCAGCTGCAGACAGGGTCATGTGCTTCCATGGCGAGGGAACTTTGCTAGGTCAGGCTGACGCCCTGGCTCCAGACAGGAAGGGGATAATAATCAATTCTGTAGATGCTGTGAGCCTTGATTGAAAAAATAAAGAGGAGGAAGCTACATTTGCTGCTTTCATTAAGAGGCAAAAGCAGCGGGGCCAGAGCTTAGGAAGAGTCGGGAAGCATGCAGAGAAAGAATTTTAACCCCTTGAGGGTTTTTCTTCCATAATATCTCTGCACTCACCCACCTCCACATCGTTGCTTCTTTGGCCTGACCTCCAAGGCCACCACCTTTGAGTCTCTCTCAGCTGAAGGAGGGAGAGAGGCCAGGCTGCATATTAATGCAGATCAGGTGGCAATTAAACGATCCATTATCTCCCAGTCCCAGGTTCCCCAGGGCTTGTCTCTCCTAGAATTGGGCAGGAAGAGGCGTTCTGGGTATAAGCGATAAACTTTGTGGTGAAATAATGCATCTAAAGCAGGGCCTGGCCCCTTGAAGCGCTCACCCACCTTTCAGACACCTCACTGGTGACACATTCTCACTATAATGAGGCCAGAGAAGGAATAAGAAAAGATTTACAGCAAAATTAGGATCCGAAGAGCCTCTCTGCCATCGCTTCCTCCTACTTCAGCCTGCCCCGTACAGAACTGACTGAGCAGAGCTCCCCAGGAGGAATACAAGGGAGAGGGCTGTCGGTTCTGCTCTTCTCTCCTCCTCTCATCCATGGAGATCTCTCCCTGCCTGCTGGCTCTACCCAGCCCTGCAGCGCTGACAGGTGTGGGCGGAGGACAAACAAACAAAATGGGGGTAGAGAGCAGGCAGGGCCAAACATGTAGTCAGCAACAGTGATTCCTTCCTGGAGCTCTGTGGGGAAACTTGGATGGAAGTTAGGCAAAACAGTGGGGAGAGAAATGAGTGGTCCAGGAGGCATTCGCCCAGCCAAGATGATCACTATTTCACATCCATGGAAAGAGGGTTGTCGGGAAGAGGTGGGGCAGGCACGTCCATGCTCTCTAAGTCTCTGGGTATCCAGGATTGAGGAGCAGGGAAAAAGTTGGAGGATCTGGAGAAAGTGAGGAGTTACTGGTGTTATTAACCCCATAGTACCTGGCACAACTTTCTAAGTGAAAGAGTTCCAACTACTTCCACTCACCTTCACCATGCTAATTATTTCTTTCTTTTTTTTTTTTTTCCTTTTTGTCTTTTTTCGTGTCCGGCAACGGATCGCAACCCTCAGTGTCGCGCCCATACCGGACCAAGACCGGCAACGGGATCGCAACCCTCGGTGTTGCTCCTGCACCTCGCTCAGCCAGTGAGCGGCTCTAGCCAGTGAGCGGGAACCGGTCTGTATGTGGGATCCGAACCCTCGGCGGGAGCGCTGCCATGCTTCCCAAGCGGCGCACTGTAGCAGTGCGCCACCGGACCGGCCCATAATTATTTCTTATTTTTGTTTTGCTCCTTTGGGAAGCAAAAGCAGGACAGAAGAAGGAAAGATGAGGACAACATGATTCCTCCCTGGTGCTGACATATGAGGCTGGATAGAAATCCAGGTGATTTCTAAATCCCTGGATTCCCAGCAGGAGCATCTGGGAGGAAGGGTTTGGGTCCTCTTGGCCACTTTGGGGGCAACAGCAAAGTCTGTGTCCACACCGTAGGCTAGAAGGGTTGAGGAAAAATCATTTTTACAGCCCCCTGAAGAGATGCAAAGAAAGTGCGGATGCAGTGAGAGAGAAGGTGGACGCCAAAAGTCACGCGGAGGGGAATCAGGTGAAGAAGCATAATTACCAGGAAGCTGTGGCTGCCCCAGGGAAACGGAATGAAATAGTTCTTTCCCCCCTTTTGGGGGAAAGGCCACATAGTATCTTGAAAGAATCCTGCCTTTTGCTGAGCTATGGGCATTGAGGGAAAGCTGACTTTCTGCTTCTCATGCCAGATAAGGAAAGAAAACCATGAAACTGAGGGAAGGGCAAATGAACCACTGAGGGAGTTGGGAAAGAAAACTGCATCTTCCTGGGGCTTGCATCAAATGCTTTAGGTCTGCCAAACCAGATCATCCTACATCTTCACCCCTAAGATCCCAGGGTTCTAGTCAAACCTTCCCTGTGTGCTAACATGCCTGACCCAACTTCTCTAACTCTACAGTACATCGGAGAAGAAAGTGAGTTTTTAAGGAATACAGCAAATCTTCCCAAGAATCCCCCAGACTTGAAGCACACTCAAGACTGAATGAAGGTGAGATTCTTGGCTGTCCCCCTCACCCCAACCCCCCCACCCCCCACTTCAGCGTCGCCATTGTCGGGGGCTAGGTGCTGACCAGGTACTGATTTCCCCCGAGCTGTTCTTCCCTGCAGTTCTCCCGTCACTTGTCTAACCAGAGAAAGGAAACTGACATGATCACAGCCTTCCCAATACAGAGGAAAGAATATTCCAGCCCCCTTTCATCTCTTCCTCCAATATTTCTAGTTCATGGACCTCATGACTGAAGAAAGAACTTGAGGTCCTAGAGTCTCTCACATTTCTCTCAGGACCCAATATGAGATTTCAGTTATCACCAAATAACCAAAGAGAAATGAGGTTTCACTCGCCATCACAGAGATCTGAGCCGGCATTGCATCCAAATACAAACTGTTTGCCAACCATCTCCCTCGTCATTGTTCTCTTTTGACAATTGCCAGCCACCCTGCACAGAAATCCTCCTTTGGTGAGGGGGGAAGGCTGTAACTATAATTGAGTCCTCCATCGTTTTGGTGGGTGTTTCCTTGCACCCCTCTGGCTCTGCAGGGATTCAGAAGAAAGGTGCCCACTCAGGTCAGAGCAGAGCACGCTTCTCCAAATGAGCCACTCCTGGCTTTGACTCCCACTGCATCAGTTAAAGAGCCAGCTCGTCCCTCTGGAAAACGCTTTCTCCCACCTTTTATCTTCATCTGCCTCCAGCTCCCTTGCCATCTCACATCACTCCTGCTTTTTGGCTTTAGCCTCTGCCTCCTTTATCCCAATCCTGCTCTTCCTGGATCTTTAAAGGCTCTTAACATGCCTCTTTGCCAAGCCTCTGTCTTTTTCATATCTCACCCTCCATTTGAATAATTTTATTACCCAAATTCCCTTCCAAATTTTTCCTAATGTAAATAAATCCTTCAGTGTTTCTCTTTTCTTCAGTTTAATCTTCACTCCAACTTCCTCCCAGTCTTGAAACCCTTTAAACCCTGCCAGTTCCCGATATCCCCAATCACTCAAAACCCATTTCTTTCCTCCTTTGCCCCAATAATGGTCTGGATACTCTCTTTTGCTCCAACAACACCCGAGCCTTCTCAAACGCTTGTACTGTCCTCCCCACCGATCTCCTTGACACAGTTCTTCCCCCAAGCGTCTTCTCACCCATTCCCTCCACATCACCCTAGTCCTTCAGACTCTTACGTGCACCCGATTTCCCCCTTGCTCCCCTTCCTCCCTCCACGACAGTCCCCACGTCCTCTTCCGCACTCACTCGGGTCTCCTGCTCAGGACGCCCTTGCCGAGGGCGGCGGGGGATTTGTGCTGAAGGAGGGCTCCGGCAGCAGCGCAACAACTCGGGGGACGCTCCTTCTTATCGGCGACGGCCCCGAGTGGCAGCGGGTGCTTGTGCGGCGACTGGGGAGAGAGAGCCCTGCTGCTGGGGCCCGGCGGGGGCTGCGCCAGGAGCTGTCCGTGGTGCTGAAGCGGCGGCTGCTCCGGCGCCGGCTGTGGCGCGGCGGGTGGGAGCTGTCCGAGGTCCTGAAGCGGCTCCTGGGCCCCGGCGGCGGCGGCGGCCGGAGCGGTGGCCGGGGAAGCCGGAGGTGCGGCTGAGGACGGGGGCACGAGCCCGGGCGGAGGCTGGGCTTGCCCTCCCCGCCACCAGCACCGCGTCACCGCCACACAGACATCCACACACGCACCGAGGGGCGGGACCGCGGCGCCACGGCCCACCCACCCTCCCACCTCTTGGCTTGGTGAGGAGGCTTTGCTTCCTGCAGGGCAGAGAGGAGAGGAGGCAGGGGAGCGTGCGCGTGTGGCCGGGGGGCGTGGGTGGGGGTAAACCAAGGGAGAAGGGGAAAGCGGGCGAAAGGAAACAGCGTGCTGGGAAAGTGCGGTGGGACCGGCAGAGGAAGAGAATCAGATAAATAGCAAACGAAGAGGGAGAGGCTGGCAGACGAGGAGGCAGAAAAGGGAAGGTGGGAACAAAGGGAGAGAGAATGTGGCAAAGGAGAGGAGGCACGGGACTCCGAAGGGTCACCCATCCCAGATGCCGGAGGTCCATCTCAAAGACCTCCTGAGGAGAGGCACACTTGGCTCTTTTGTACTCAACATGTATTCTGCTGCCGAGTTCATGGGACTGTGAGGGTCCCTGGAGAACATCCAGTCTTGCTCCTTTCTTCAGCCGTGAGGCAACTTATGATGGGAAGGCTGTTCGTGCTGGTTTTTCTCTGGGAATGAGACCTTAGGACAGTTTGGGTCATTCTAATAGGAACACCAACTAAAAAGAGCAGGCTCTCTGTGGCATAGGCAAATGCTTCCAGAAACTTCTGAAGAGAGGATTCTGTTTGACAAACATTTATGAAATGCATGCTATTACCAAACACTGGGCTAAATGGTGGTAAGATAAGGATGACTAGGGTGGAAACTTTGGCTTCTTGAAGCTTATGAATAAGTGGATGAAACAGGTAATAAACAGTCCACTTTGATATACGGTGGTGGTGGTAAGTAATAAGATCTACGTATGCCGAGCGTGCTTTAGGAGCGAACAGCTTGGGGACCCATGAGGTCTTCTTGGAGGAAGTGACCCTTGTGGTGGAAAGGGTTTTCCAGGAAGGGAGGGCAGCATGAGCAAAAGCTCAGAGATATGAATCAGCATGAACCAAATCTTTATTCATTTCTGCAATAATTATACGTAAAACACCCACTACATGCAAAGTAACGTACTAGGATCTAGGATGCGGGCTACACCTAGAGTAGATAATAAGTTATAGCTTCTATAGTTGGGTAGATTACAACCTGGTAGAGTAGATATGGCATGCACGTGAGAAAGTAAACTACACGTTAAGATTTCTGTAAGAGCTCTTCAAGCCAAGCGCTACAGGAGTTTAGGGGAGGGAGAGGTTTTGTTTGACTATGGTGATCTGGCAAGGCCTGATGGAGGTGCTATTAGGAGTGCAATGGAAAGGAGGCGGGGCTATGGGTGCTTTTGGCATATTTGTTGTGCTGTTCCATTCTTCACACAGACAGTCCGTCAGGCTCCTGTCTACCTCCCGTTCCCTCAGGGTAGGCATATTTGTGGATACCGTGTACCCAATGAGCCAGGCCACCCAAGCCCATCTGGTGCCATACCTGAATGACCTTATGGGAAGGAATCTGTGCTCTGCAAATATATCGGTTTCTCTGCACTTGTGATGTGTTTCTGTTTTGCTTTTCTCCCATTTATCTTCCTAGCAAACTTCCTTTTATAGAGAAGGAAGGAAGGAAGCTTATCCACAGCTGAGCCAACAGTTGGGAGAACAGAGCACCCAGGGGAACACTTTGGTAGTGATCAGTATTCCAGCCAAAGAATGGAGGTTGGGGGATGGAACAAGGGCAAACAAAAATTCAAACACTTTTCTTCTGAATTTTCTTTGCTTGCCTAGTTGATTCATTGTCCAAGAGTTGGGTGCTTGTAGAGGCCAATAGTATTTCTATAAGTGAAACAGCCGAAGCATAATTATCTGTGGGGCTTGTTTAAAATGCAGACTTCTTGGCCATATATCAGTCCTGCTATATTGGAATCACTAGGAATGGGTCCCAAGTGTTTTCATTTTTTATTTTTTTCTTTTATTTTTAAAAAATCAGCTTTATTGACATAATTTAAATGCAATTATATGCACCCATTTTAAGTGCACAGTTCAACGAATTACAGCAAATATATACATCCATGTAATCACCACTACAGTCAAAATTTCTATCACTGAAAAAATAACCTCATGCCCCTTTACAGTCAATTCCTCTCATTCTGAGCCCCAGTTAACCACTGATCTGCTTTCTATCAATATAGGTTAGCTTTGCCTGTTACAACATTTTATATAAATGGAAATATTACAGTATATACTCATTTCTGTCTTTTTTGCTCAGCACAATGCTTTTGAGGTTCATTTGTTCTGTTTTAGAAATCACTAGTTTTCTCCTTTTTATTTCTATGTAGTATTCACAATATGTATACCGTAATTTATCTATTCACCTACTGATGGACATTTTGGTGATTTCCAGGTTCTGGTTACTTCAAATAAAGCTGCTATTATCATTAATGAACATGTCTTTGTGTGGATATATGTTTTCATATGTTACATATGTTTTATGTTTCATATGTTTTACCAAGAGTAAAAATCTAGAATTGGAATTGCTATATCATACAAAAGTATATATTTAACTTAATAAGAAACTGCCAAACTGTTTTCCAAAGGGGCTGTACTATTTTTTATTCTTGCCAACAATGTGTGAGAAGTTCAGGTTTCCTTGCTAATATTTGGTATTTTCATCCCTTTTTCACTTAACCAATTTGGGTGGGTGAGTAGTAGTATATCAGTATGGTTTTAATAATTATTTTCCTGATGACTAGTGCTGTTAAGCATCTTCTCATGTGCTTATTGGCCATTTGTATATCTTTGTCCACTCTTTCTATTGAATTGCTTTTCTTCTTCTTATTGAGTTGCAAGAGTTCTTCATATATTCTAGAAAGCTGTCTCTGTCAGCTGTATGTATGGCAAATATTTTCTCCCAGTCAGTGGCTTGCCTTTTCATTTTCTCAATATTATCTATTGAAAAGCAAAATTTTTATTTTGATGAAAAACTTATCAATTTGCCTTGGATTGAATGTCCCCCCAAAACTTAATTCCCATTGTAAACTGCTGAGGCTGGGAAATCCAACTACAGTAATTGAAAGGTGGGGCCTTAAAGAGGTGACTAAGTTGATGGTTTTAATGGTGGTCGTGGAGTGGTCCTGAGAACTTTAAAAGTACTCATAAGGTGCACTCTCTCTCTGTGCTTCCACCATCTCACCCTGTGTCACCATGTGAGGAAAATAGAATAGTTTAATCAGGCCCCCTGCCTCAGGTCCAGTTGGGGGTGGTGCAGCACATTCCTTGTAAACAAGTTGTGAGTGGGTGGAGTTAGTGTGCATGTGCACCCATGTATCTTTTTTAGTTTGTTGCTATTCTTGTGTGTTCTTTAGAGTTTGTGAAGCAGCCTGGACTGCAGAGCTCACGTCTAAAAATAGAGTGTGTTGGGCCGGCCCGGTGGTGCACTGGAGAGTGCGCCGCTTGGGAGCGCGGTGGCGCTCCTGCCGAGGGTTCGGATCCCATGTGGAGACCGGTTCCCGCTCACTGGCTGAGCGCAGTGTGGGCGCAACACCGAGGGTTGCGATCCCGTTGCCGGTCCCCAGTACGGGCGCGACACCAAGGGTTGCGGTCCCGTTACCAGTCAGTAAAAAAGACAAAAAAGGAAAATAAATAAATAAATAAAAATAGAGTGTGTTTACTTTGTTGGCAGCTGCTCAGTTTTTCTTTGGACTTTGCCAGTAGCAGTTGAGTTTCTGAGTTTCTCTGTGGACTGCCTAGTTCTTAGAAGTGTGTGTGCTGAATAAGGACTATTCTTTCTTCAACCAAGGCTCCAAGAAGCGTTTTCTGTTCCCTAGCTCGTAGACCTGCATGTGAAGGGTTCGTGAATGGGCTTGAGGGGTCTGTGAGCTCCAGCTGTAGCTCTACACACCACCAAGGAAGACTCTCACCAGATGTGTTCCCTGGACTTTGGACCTTCCAGCCTCAGAAACTGTAAGGAATAATATTCCAGATTCCAGATTTTTTAAATAAGCAACAGAAATGGACTAATACACAATTATTCTTCTATGGTTCATGTTTTTGTGTCCTATCAAAAATTCTATGCCTATTCCAAGGTTGAAAACATGTTCTCTTATGTTTTCTTCTGGAAGTTTTATAGTTTTTGCTTTTATGTTTAGGTCTATGATCTATTTCAGGTTAATTTTTGTGTTCAAAGAATCAAGCTTCTTTTTGTCCTTAAACATTTGACAGAATTCACATTAAAGGCATCTTGGCCTGGAGGTTTCTCTGTGGGAAGATTTTTAACTACAAATTCAAGTTCTTTAATAGATATAGGGCTATTCATATATCTGTTTCTTTTTGTATTCATTTTAGTAATTTGCATCTCTGGTAGGCAGAATGACCTCCCAAAGATACCCATGTCTTAATCCCCCAAACCTGTAAATGCGTTACTTTACATGGCAAAATGAACTTGAAATATGCAATTAAATTAAGGACCTTGAAATGAGAAGATTATCCTGAATTATCTGGGTGGACTCAATGTAATGACAAGAGTCTTTATAAAGAGGGAGGCAGGGGTGTCAGAGTCAGAGAGATGTGACAATAGAAGCAGAGGTCAAAGTGAAGTGACTGCTGTCTGGGAGCCAGAAGCCAGGCAGTGCAGGGAAAGGGGGGGGACACAGATTCTCCCTCAGAGCCTCCAGGAGGAACACAGTCCTGCCAATACCTTGATCTTAGCTGGGTGAAGCCCACTTTAGACTCCTGACTTCTGGAACTGTAAGATAATAAATTTGTGGTGTTTAAGTTACTATGTTGGTGGTAATTTATTACAGCAGCAATAAAGAACGAATCCAGTATCTTTCAGAAGATGTATTCCTTTCATCCGAGTTGTCAGACTTGTTGGCATGAAGTTGTTATGATCATATTTCTCTATCAACCTTCTAATGTCCGTAGGCCGTGCAGTGATGTCCTCTCTTTCATTCTTGATATTGGTAATTGTGTATTCTTTTTTTATTAGTCTGACTAGAGATTTATCCATTTTTATTATATTTTCAAAGAACCAGTTTTTGGCGTCATTGAGTTTTCTCTATCATCTGTCCATTTTCTATTTCATTGATTTCTATTCTTTTTTTTTTTTTTTTTTTTGTCTTTTTCTGTGTCCGGCATCG